TTGCTATTTTGAAATAAGTTCTTAAAGTTATATTTCCTAAAACATAGAACAGTAACTAAAGAAGTAAAGCAAACAATTACCTCTGATAGTTAATACCTTTGTACTTGGTTGCTGCTTGGTGTAGGTTGCTGAGCCTTTAAAAAATTAGCACATAGAGAATATGAAACAAAATATTTTTTTTATGTTTTATACATACATTTGAATAATTAAAAAATCATAAATTACAACATCAATACCATAGAATTCTATTATAATTTATCAACTTAGTAACTAAGCTGTATTTTGGTCTAAAAAAATATGAAATTTCAAGCAGACTAAAGACACCTACATCATTGAAATCTTGATTCAAAAGAAAGAAATTGTGGAAGGAACGTTAGAAAGGCTGAGAAAAACCACTAGGGGGACATTCTGAGCTTCCGATTGGTTATTCATGTCATAAATAGAAGTAAGTGTATATGAAGGAGCATTTCCAAAAAGTAGAAAGAGGTGAGCAGGGTGTCACTTATTTTATATTCTGGCTTGTCCATATATGTAATTTGAGTTTCTAATTCATACAAAACTATACACTTAGTATTTTGACTTCACAAACATCTATTTTGAACCAGTGCTGCATTCAACATACCACATGACACACAAAATTGATGTTTATCTGTGTTTTGTTAATATCTACTTTTTAATTAACAAATTGAGTAATGTATAGTTCTAAAATTTTAATTATAATCTCAAGTTGGATACCAAAAACTTATTTACATAAATTCATGAAATAGTAGTTCAATAAAATTTTGAATGCGAGTCAACAAATGAGATGGCATGGCCTTTCACCTGTGACTCGTTTCAAAAGGGTTAAAATTCACAAAGCATAAAAACAATTCTTACCTTGATAAATTCAACAATTCCCTCTGGAATGGATGTCTTACTCAGCCTCTTTAAATATTCAATGATGTCACTAGTTTGCAAACCCACAGACACTGCAGCATAAAGAGAGTAGGCTGTAAGCTTGTATTCGTGGATATGTTCTGGTCTGCAAACTGGCTACAAAGATAACAGACAAATTATGAGACTAGCCTTAAAATGTCATTAAAAATAACTAGGTAAAATCTGTTAAAAGGTCTAAAAGCTCTTGCTAAAGTATTAAAATCACATTTAAAGCTCACTGTTGTCTATAACAGGAAAATGTTAGAAGTGAATACTTAAGCACTTAAGTGATTTTTGACCTTTCTAATAAATTAACTATGCAGAGTACACGAATTTTCTTTTATGTTGCTTGAAAATCTTACACGACTTTTTTCTTCCTCAACTAATCCTATATTTTTGAAAAATGTTACAGACTCAGGATAAATGGATGAAAAGTACTTTTGCTAATTATACCAATTTTAGTTTTAGCTAACAGTATTCGTGCTTGATTAATATGAAACAATTTTATAACATGATGATACATCCTTTTTACTTTATTCGTAAAAAATATCCTCATATTTCATGAAGTATACTAATGCCATGTCCTTAATGTATTCTTTTTTAAACTTGTCATATAATACATAGAATTATTGTATGTATAAATAAATATGTATTTCTATAGCATTCTGTTTCTTTAACAATAGTTTGAAACAATATCATACTAACAATGTCTGGATCATCCTATACTCTTACTATTGATTGCATTATTGAAAAAACAATACTATTTCTAAAGTTAAAATTTTCTTAACCTGAAAATATATTTCCAATAGATATTCACGTCTACACACAGAAATGCTATTTCCTCACGCGTCTGCCTGAGATTTGCATACCACTAGCCTTGAGCTAACTCCTGTCTAAATTCACATGTTTAACATAAACTGCACTGGCAAATGATTATGTCATTATGAAACAATAGCTCTCCACCAATAGGAGGGTGACACAACCTCTATGCACAATAACTTCTCCTCTGCACTTACACTTGTGACAACTTCATTCTTTTATGAGGCAAGGAAAAAAATGCACCAGAAGTGGAGAGATTGGGTGGGAATGTGTGAAGAGTATATATATCAGAAATACATTTGCAGATTAGGAAATTGGTAACTTCCAAAACAATAACTCTCCTCTTTACACAGAAATGCTAGAATCCTAGGTGGAGGGGCAGTACAAAAATTTACCTAGATGAGTTCTCTACAGAAAGTGCCCAAAGGGAAGCCCATGGAGTGTGACACCCAATGAAAGGGTTCTGTAAGGGCACACCCATGGGAAACCACATCTAGTCTCAACAAGGATATACTCTTCACCTGAGATATAAGAGAGGGAAAGGCAAAAGAGCCTGAAGTGTCACAGGAATGGGCAGAACGTGATCATGGCTAACTAAGTACCTGCACAGAGTTGGCCTGATCCCAGGGAGAATCTAAAAGAGACAAGTGGTCCTGAAGATGGAGTGGGCTCAGCAATTTGAAGACATTGCAATGGGAATACTGTATAAGGAAGTAAGAGAAGGCAAAAATGAAGCTGTAGAGCATACCCCCATCCAGGTCAGAGTTATCAGACATTAGTTAGAAAATGATCATCACATCACAGATGTCTCAAAATTATAAACCAGGATGTATGTGTAGATGCGGGAAAAGGAACCTGCCAAGGCATCACTTGCCACCTGATGGTATGCATTATCCACTTTCAGAGAACATTGCTTTTTCATTGAGCCCCAGCACAAAGTGTAGAATGATGTCTAGGACAATTGCTGAGGTAAAAACATGAATGAGATCACCTAAGCACAGTTTCATGTTACAAGAAGGAAGATTTCTTTTTTTTTAGGTATAATCAAACTTAGAGTATCATCACAGGAGCCAAACAGAATCACAAAGCTGAGGAGACAGTGAAGTGATACAAAATAGAAAATATTTCAAATTTAAGTGAGGAACACTTTTCATAATTCTTGTGTATGAGATTAAAAACATCAAAATTCTGTGCCTATGAAGGCCTGAAACTGAAATCATATATCTGACAGATGGAAAAAATGTTCTTCTCACCTCAGCTATTGCTATCAAAAAATCATGAGCATGCTTGTATACAGGTGAGAATGACTCAAGGAAAATGTGTCCATCTGGAGCCTATTAATAACAATAAAAGAATTAATTAAAAACTCTTACATTAATACAACTAATATTTTTCACTTCAATAATTAGGATAAGTAACTAAGAATACAAACTATTATTTAATACCAAAAAATCAATTAAATTCAATGTTATTTACAAAATACTTGAGAAAAAATAAATATGATAAAATGTCTTAAAATACAATCTTAGTTACATATGTACCTCTAGTAGACACTGTAACCTGTGACTACATATTTACAACTTAATATGCAAAAGTAACTCTTTCTTTATTTCAATTTTGGCTTTTAAATTTCACATACTATATTTTGAAGTGCTATAAGCTTTAACCTCCTTACAATGTTTAAAATAAATTCATACATTGCTAACATTTGATTATATCCTAATTTGTCAGTCACTAATCAAGTAAATTTAATTAACAATCATTTAAAACATAGTAATTTGACCTATTTTCAGCTTTATTGGTAATTAATACAAAAATAAACACCTCGTACGGTATAATGGGGTCGGCAACCTAAGGCATGCTAATTCACAGAAGAAAAATACAAAAAGTATATTTTGACAAAAAAAAAGAAACAAAAAACACCTCTGAGAACTACCTTATTACAGTGGCAGTATACCATATTAACTTATTATTATAAACTACTAACTAGGTAATCATAATATATGCAAAAAATTATAATATTGTAACCTACATTAAAAGAAAATGATGGCATGTGCAAAGAGTCTTAAATTTTGAATATTGATAAATGGCACCCAATAGAAAAACATCACCAACCCTTGCTATAAAATAATATACCTGCAGTTACCCTACCATGACAACAAAATGAAGACGTCTCATTGTGATCTTGACTAAACCATTACTGATCTTGGATCATATTTTTTTAATTCTCAATAATTAATTCTCATTACAAAATTTATTAAAAGATGTTCTACATCTTCATAGTTCCTGACAAATATAATTTTGTCCATAAATCTACAAATAACATAACATAACATAAAATAACAAAAAACATGCACTAACCACCAGTAATTATGAAATCTTACTCTGTAGTCATGGTATGGTAATTATACTCCTAAGAATTCCCTCAGCCTGACAAATATTCAGCATGTACTTTAAACAACATTATAAAAAGATCATAAGTAAGCTCCTGAGAGCACAGTATTAGTTTGACATTTGATGGTTTCCAGTTCTTGTGAATGATAGTAAAGGTAAATAAAAAAAGGTTAATGATTACAATTCACTTGCTTAATCTGGTTCACACCATAACAGTTGTGGTTTATGAAAACTTGTGATATATGTGGCACATAAACCACAACTATGTCAATCATATTACCATCATCCAGACAAACTGTGATACTGGGCAAAAAACCTCATCAGCACTGGATATGGTAGATACAGTGTGGTTGGCATATTGTTTATGTTATAGTTTTCATGCTATAACTTTTAAACTAGTATGCATATGTTCATGAAATTTGGCAGATTATCAGTAAACATTACAAGGCTTTCACATATGCAAAATATCATATTTTTTTTATTAATTCTTCAGGTTTGTTAAACAATGTTTTTTTTGTGCCTTTTTTCTTTTCACATAATGCCTATCCAACATTTTAAAATTAATAATACTTTTATGCATCAAAAAATTTTCAAATTTCATATGCAAAATCTTCATAACATCTGTGACAGTTATCAAATGTTTCTTGAACTTTATATTTTATCTGTTATTTTCACTAATGAATATCTGTAGAGGTTTGATCAATTTAACCAATCTCATAACCATCATAAAAAATTGGGAAATAAATATAAATTATGCCTTTTTTGTTCTTAGAATGACTACAAATTATAACACGAAAACATATATGTTTGG